ATAACAAAAGGGCTGTCGATTCATATGAAAACGTAAAGGTAACAACGTCCTGCAGTTACTTGCTAACGCCCCTGCTGACGGAAGGTTTTTTTTTGGCCTTCTCTTCCACACTTTCCAGAAATCTTCGATTCGAAGGGCATGTGCATGGCTCCCGTAGAACGTTTTGATTCTGCGGTTGTAGTTAGGCTGATAAATTACTGACTTCCAAGACAGCAATCAGAATTAATTAATCTTAGGAATTTGGCATTGAAACCACCAGGATCTCAATAAGTCATTGTTTTTTACTTGGTAGTTATGTACCCCCCTCTACCCCCCACCCACCCCCGGAGGTGAAGATTTACAGGCACAGGGATTAAACATGTTGTAGGAGTGAACACAAACCCATTCACCACCATCACGTTGACTCGGGGGATGTATACGGTACTGTACCACAGTAATCGTGAAGAGTGTCAGCCTGACCCACAGGGTTTTATATATAAAGACCACTGTATTTGAAAGACCTTGGTATGTTGTTGATTAGCAGGAGCGTCAAGGATGGCCTTCATCCAGCAGTGGATTATGGCTGACACTGATGGTAGGTCCACATTATACCATTTATCCAGGACAGCCTCACTAAGTCTCAAGCCCCTTTTCAGGAAGGTTCTGCTGTACATTGGGATGTTTGGCCGATGCCAGGTCTAGTATTGTTTATTTGTAATGTTAAATTAGTCATTTTTGTCATGAAGAAGAAAACTCAACACGTTGGTTAATAACGCTAAAATAAAATGCATAAGAGGTGACGATTCGGGAAATTACTCTTCTTTATAGCACGTAGAATTCACCTTAACAGTGTAATGTCTTATTAAGAGAAGGGGCGTTACCTAAAACGTCTCCTATTTTTTATATTCGTGCCACAACATTATGAAGGAATGTGGTTGTGTCTGTGCACCAGTGGCAACGCAGCATCACCAACATAATTTGTTTCATATTTTTATTATTTTATTGTTTCCCTTCTACGTGAATTTACCAAAAGAACCAAGAATATGAATCCCTGCAGTCACGAAAGCTTTAAATCAAAATTCAACATAATTCGTTTTCCGTTCTACATTCATCGCGTTTGCAGTGCAATTGAATGTCTAAACCACCGGGTGGTCCAGACGTTTAGTGACCCCCAATTAATTGACCCCTGACATTTATTTTGTATCGCTAATATTACATTATACATTAATTGGTACTCAAACATTACAGTTTAGATATTAAAATTGGGGCCACAAGACATCTGGAGCACCCTGTACAACTAAATATCTGCAATGGTCGCTCGACTGTACAATAATACACAAGCAGTACACGCGACTCCCAATGCCAGATTCACACACAACAAAACGCATCATCGCAGCGATGCATCGCTCCGCAAAGTCCTGACGCAGTCGTCCGGATGAACCACCCCTCGATGTAAAAAAAAACAAGTCTCGTTGTTGCTCTACAATCTCCATCCACATGAGCCATAGCAAAGCCACGGGAGAGTTACGCAACCCAGGACTGCACGTGGTGCTGCACGTGCAGTGTTGCTAAGCCATGCCGGTTTACCCGACGTTCCACACCGCGTACAAGCGGACGGGACAATGTAAACGTTACATTTACCGGCGCGTTTAAATACGGCGGTTCAAATGTTAAACATGTTATTGGTCCATTATTTTGTTGCCGTGCTCATGAATGGAAAATTAGCGTGATTGTGGCCGTAACAACCCAGACTGTGGACCATATTGTAAAAAAAAGCCGTAGAAGTCTTGCGCTCCTTCAACGGAGGAGCAACAACAACAATAACAATCTGTGCCACCCTAGGTGCACGGCTCTCGGGAGGCCTGCCTTTCGTAGCTCGCAAACATAGACATTGTTGACATCTAAACATTTTCATACGCAAGAGGATGACTGTTCTATACATTTCCACATGATAAGCAACTTTGTTGAGCTATCATTTGTGGCCAGGTCGCGTCTGAAAAAGAAGCTAATAGCTCAGTGGTCTTTACCTGGTAAGAAAACAAACTTTCGTTTTATTTGTATTTTTTTAAAGTTATTTGTTTACATTTCCTATATTTTACACTCCTATCGTGTTTTGGTATTGTTTGTTGTTGTAACGTTCTGACCTGCCCCGACTGGGCATGTCATTTCTTCATAGCTCATCGGATTTATCCCGTATAAATAAATATTCTTATTCTGAATCTTGGTTCTTTCGGTAGTCACGTAGAAGGGAAATAATTCAATAATGATGATTGCTTGTGTTGCAATCGAAACGTGAGAATTTAATAGTTTTATTTGTATTATTTTATTATTTCCCTTCTACGTTACTTTACCGAAAGAACCAAGAATATGAATCCCTGCAGTCACGAAAGCTTTTAATCGAAATTCTTATTCTGAGTTTCATGAGACTCTTTTTCAGAAGGCTCCTGGCACGTTTTCCCAGTAGGGAGGCAATGATTGCTGCTTTGTGTAATTTGCAGGTGATTATATCACCATTGAACTTTTGGCCCAACGTTCCATATTTACTGAGTGTAACCCATTTAACGTAATCCCAATTATAAGTATAAAGCTAAATTCACATCCTTTAAAATTTTAGAACTTTGCGTTTTTGTGTGGATATCGTTTATAGACTCGTAATACGTTCGCAACATACACGTGTACACTCGCTCATAATAATCACAATACATATTGTGATTGAAGTACTGCATTAAGTACAATTTAACGATTATAACAAATTCATCAACATTTTAATCACATCATTTTGTACACGATGTTTTTTTTCTTCAATTCAAAAATATTAGAATTCCGCATTATATTGTGAATAAAATAAGTTAGTGTCTGTTTATTTTAACGAGCAATTTGAATTAACGGGAATTTTAGCAATAAAACCGTAGGGGGCGCTCGCGTCAACGACCTCTGCGTTGTGACACCACGCGCATCCATGACGTCATGACGTTACGACTTCTTCGCTACGCACGAGAGCGACTGGAATATGACGTCATAGCGCATAAGCAAGGACATTCTGATGACGTCGGGCTAGCATGGGAGCACACCCCCCCCCGTATTGCCCATGACGTCATCACGCAAGTCATCACCCAAGCTCGGTGTGACGCCATCAACCCAGTAAAAATGACAAAGTCGGGGCATTGTTGACATGTGATTGGAACTTAATGTTTCCTTGACGCCCATTAGGAATGTGTATTCGTTTTCAAGGTTATTAAATGTAACCCGTTGAGAACTCAAGGGACCAAGATCCAGAAGCCTCATTTGCATGAGGGACCTGCGCGAAAACGCCACGCACACCTGTAATGCAAGATGACGTCACAAGGCAATGACGTCACTGGAAGTTTACGTTCAAAATAACGATACGCTTCGATGTGGAGAACGTAAATAACAAAATAAAGACGACTTAACTCAATACGCCTATTATATTTCTCCACGTAAACGAAATTATTCTTTGTACAACACATCGGATCGACGGCCTTTTAGGAGTGAGAAATTGTCAGCAGCGGTGATTCAGCACATGCAAGACTGCACCGATTTCCACACACGGTGTCTCATCAGCAGTCAGGCTTCCTTACTCTTTGGTTTTATTCGGTAAAGTCACGTAGGTAAAAGAAAATTAAATCACGACGTTTCGGAGGCAACACAAGCTTGATTTAATTGTTTTATTTTATTTTTTTGATTTAAAGCTTTCGTGACTGCAGTAATTCATATCCTTAGCTCTTTCGGTAAAGTCACGTTGAAGGGAAACAATAAAATATATATAAAACAATAAAAAAATTCTCACGACGTTTCGACCATAACACAAACGGTCATCATCAGGTGTGAAAACCGGTTTGTGTTATGGTCGAAACGTCGTGAGAATTTTTATTGTTTTATATATATTTTATTGTTTCCCTTCAACGTAACTTTACCGAAAGAGCTAAGAATATGAATTACTGCAGTCACGAAAGCTTTAAATAAAAAAAGCTAAGCATATGTTTTATTTTATTTTACCTTCGTGACTTTACCGAATAAAACCAAAAGAGTATGAATCCTTGCAGTCACGAAAGCTTCAAATCTAGAAAGTCAGGCTTCATCTTCTTTTGTTCTTTCGGTAAAGTCACGTAGAATGAGAATAAAATAATAAATTGATCAAATAAAATAACACAATAATATTCTCACGACGTTTCGGCCACAACACAAGCGGCCTTCATCAGGTGAAGGGGACGAGACTGTCTGGAGGACAGCGCTGGAGTGAAGCCACTTGTGTTGTGGCCGAAACGTCGTGAGAATATTATTGTGTTATTTTATTTTATAAATTTATTATTTTATTCACATTCTACGTGACTTAACCGAAAGAACCAAAGAAGATGAATCCTTGCAGTCACGAAAGCTTTAAATCGAAATTTAGTCAGGCTTCCTTCAACCAACGCCGGTGAACTAGCCAGATGTTGATGGCACGGGTCCTAGCACGACGCCAAATTATAACTCAAAACGATCATTTGCATCGTTGTTAAGTATACTAATTACAATGTAAATAAACAGACGATATAAATTCGCATTTTCTGTCGATCTATCGGACCCATCAGATCGACAGTTCACTTGAATGTATTAAAGCAAGCCTGACTGCTGATGAGATACTGAATGTCGAAACCAGTCCAGAAGTTTTGCTTTGTTTTGAATCAATGCTGTTGTGAAATGATACACTCCCCAGAAGGCCGTGCGGCTGATGGGTTTATAAAGTCAAACTTTTATTGTTATATATGAAGCGACAGATATATGAAGGGAGGCATTGTCTGCCTTTTTAATTTATGCATATTCTCCACAACGCCAATTATTATTTAGAGTTATATTTTACTTTATTCAGATTGCACGTGTTAATGCCTGGGTGGGGGTTACGTCTCATTACGTCATCACGTACGGTCTTACGCCGGCGCCATGACGTCACCACCTCCCACCCGAGACTATTGAGACGCGGGAAGTTGCGCGATGACGTCACCCCAGCGACGTTCAGGCGTGGGCGGAGTCACGCCCTCTGACGTTATCACGCACGGTCGTAACTCGACGCGATGACGTCATCCGGCGGTGGCGGCGGCTGCGATCCCCGCGAGGCGAGGCGAGCGTAGCTCCCCCCTGCACGCTCCAGCGCCATGGGCGACAGAAGAACCCTGAGCAGGTAAAGAGCCATTTCACTCGATGTCTCTCCGGTTTTCATCGCTTTTAGTTGTTGTTTTTGACGGATTCTGCCGAGCGAAATGTGCGAATCCGCCGTGCCTCGACGCGGGTTTTAAGTGTTTGTCGGGACGGAGCGGGACTGGGTGAAGGCGATCACCTTTATTGTTTGTGATACTGCGCAAGTAACTAACAAAAACTCAACATATTCGCCCATAACATCACTGACCTAAAAGGAAAAAAAACAGGCGACGTTTCGGGTAATGGCCCTTCATTGAGATAGAGAAGCGAATTGGAGTAGATTTCGCAGCGCGGATAAGCTTCCCGAGCCCTGATTGGTTGAAGGAGACGCAGTTGACCATTGGGATCGCCCCGTTGGCCCGGTGCCTGCGCCGTCGACCAATCGCGTGCCGAGCAACGGCGCCCCCGCGCCCATTCGCTCTGCGATTTCCAAAGGTGGCCGTGCCATGGCGGTCGTGCGAGTCCCAATGATTTCAATGTTCTTCCCCTGAAGCAATGTTTCCCACGGGGACCTTGGGACCTCCTCAGGGTGATCCGGGTTCTCGTGACTTCATTGATTCGGACTTTTACCCGGGTCCGTGGTCTCTCTTTCTCACGGGATCCCGATGATTCAGACTGTATCATCCAAGGATGCTGTATTTATCACGGGTTCTCGATGATTAGCACTGCCAACATCCGGGACCAGGGTCTCTCCTCTCTCTCACGGGGTTCTTGGGGTCTCTCGATAATTCATGCTGTATCAATCCAGGACCGGATTCTCTCACAAGTGATGGCTCAACGAAGTGGCTTATCATGTGGACGTGTATAGTAGCCAAATACTCTAAACGCGTGTTTTCTAAATGTCGAGGGACAACCCGAAGGACCCGGAGAAAAATCCACGCGACCACGGGGAGAAGACACAAAAACTCCAAATATCCAGCAGGGGTCGAGGTCGAACCCACGACCTCCTCTATACCATGCTATGTAGTTAAAATCTTGCCACCGTGGCGCATATAAAGTGAGGGGGGGTCATGTGCGAGTCCACTGGTGCCCGCCTGTGATGACGGGACGAGAGAGAGGGGAGAAATTGATAGGAAATAACGAGAGGAGAGGTGAGTGGAGAAGCTGTGAGGTTAGAGTGAGATGGGAGGGTAGTGAAGGAAGAATCCGAGACGGGAAGAGTGAAGACAGAGAAGATTGTATTGGTGAGAGGTGAAGAGAGTGGGTAGATATTGAGAAAGGAAGAGTGTGAGGAGAGGGCAGAGGTGAGGATAGAGGCTGGGAGGATACGCGCGGAGAAGGTAGCAGTGAGGGAAGAGCCTAAGATGGAAAGTAGAGTGAGGGGAGAGGGTAGAGGCTGAGAGGGTCAAATCGTGGGGAGAGGTTATGAAAGGAAGAGATAGTCAGGTGTCAGTAGGGTAGAGATGAGGGGGTAGGCTGAAAGAGAAAGAGTGAGGGGAAAGGGTAGAGGTGAGGATAGAGGCTGAGAGGGGGCAGGGGTAGTGAGAGGAGAGAGTATCAGTGAAGGATGCTGAGAGGGGAGAAGAGGGTAGAGCTTCCGCAAGCAAATTTGGTCACGGGGATAGTTTGGCCATACTTCACACTGGTCAGTGCGGGTCGGTAAAAGGTGGTTGCCCAGGAAGGATTCGGATATTTAAACTAAAAAATGTTTTACCAGGTGAAGCTCTTTTTCAGAAGCTACTTGGCCACAAATGATAGCCCAGTGAAGTGAATTATCATGTTGAAACGTATAGCGGCCAAATACTCTAAACACATGTTTCTCAATGTGGAGGGGAAAACGGGAGGACCCGGAGGAAAATGCACGCGACCACGAGGAGAACATACAAACTCTAAATATACAGGCATCAGGGCCGAGATACAGAACCCACGACCTGTATACTAGTTGAGGTAGTTAACTAGTTGAGGTAGTTAACATCTCGCTCCGGCGGCACCCCATATCACTTGCAACTGATGCTAGCTGTCGCCAGGAATCTGGTTGTGGAGTTCATAGTGCAGTGCACTAACTACTGTACCACCATATCACATTGGTGAGAGGCTTTGGAGTGAAAAAAAAAACTAATAAAGGATGGTTAGTATGAGGAAGGCTGATGGTAGAAAGGAGCAGAATGATGTAAGGAGCTATGGAGTGATGTTAAAGAGTGAAGGGAGAGTTGGTGAATAAGAGGATACTTGGAGAAGTGGTCTTAGTAAAGTTGAGAAATAGTGAATACATGTTAATGCACATCCCTGGTTCATGGTATTGTTTAACGGTGTACACCTGACACCTTAACACCTGCCTGCAAATATTTATTACCTACCTGCATGAGTTCCTGGCAGTGGCCAGGCTTTTGAAGAGAAGACAGCATGAACACAATAGAATGGGCGATTCATGCCCTGAGAGGTATCATTACTTTCCCTAGCAATTATATAAGCAAATAGAGACGTGGTGCTGCCATATGCGTAGTTGGTAGTGTCTACCTCATTCTGAATACCAACCACCCAGCTTCTCACATATGTCTCAGTGTCTGTTAACATTCAGTTCGTTTCATGATAGTCCATAAAGCTTCTTAACCACATGCAACTGGTTTTTAATCGCGTACACAACAAGTTTGTTGAACTTGTCGAACTACAATTTAACCCTATACATACTTGTAAAGGGCCTTGCGGTTGAATCGTCAAGTTATATCTCTTTATACCCTTTACATTTTTAGGTCAATCTAGAATTGAAGCATTCGTGACTGAACCAATGAGTATAGTCATTTTTTGGTCATTTAAAAAAAACTGCTTTTTTTCTCTTCCTCATTGCTTGTGTCTCAGCGTGGCTGTGTGTGAGCCCCAAAACATTTCCGCGGGGTACTGAGAATGCACTTGTAGGGGGCATGCAGTGTTACAATTGTGTGGAGTTTTTTTTTTGTGCTGGCGTCCTCAAGTTCGAAAACGCTCACTATGCCACATTTGCTGTGGTGAGTGTTCTTCCCTAAGTTGTCGGCGTAAAAAAAAACGAGTTAATGTAAAGCGAAGCATCGGGCAGGAAATATGGGAGTGAAACCCTGCCGCATACCGTTAGTTTTACAATGGGGTCCTTATGTCTGCAGCACAGGTCATAAGGTCACATACCAATGCGGTCCAACAATGCTCAAATGTATTATAGGATGCCGTGCTTCAAGCAGCAGTTCCTGCCTTAATTTTTCTCTGAACGGCAAACTGGTAAATGAGCCAGGCCCCGATTTAAGTGAATTAAAAAAAAATCACTTCTCATGCTGACAATATCATTCATCCAAGTACTGCAGCAAGTTGGTTTTGGTGGGTAGCCAAAGCTTAATACGGTGTCCTTAGTTTCACTGTTTCTTTAGGAGGAAGCGATTGTTATGTTGTTTTGGTTTAGGTAAGTCTAATAATGTCGACATTTGAGCCATTTAGCTTGTATACACAGTCGTGAGGTGGTGTAGTGGTTCGTACATCAATCTATGAACCTGGCGATCTGAATTCTGTTCCCATTCATGCCTACCATCATTGGCCGGAGATATCTGAACTGGCCCTGGCCCACCCGTTCGCCAATCCGCTGCTGGAAGAGGTCTTCCCCACACTATGGGAGTTATTTGACCAGACTTTTCCATTCTGATCAGCGCTGTGTGGTAAAGGCAGGGAGCATAGCTTTAGGAGTGTATCACAATACCAACAAAAGATTTCGCTCCATTACCTTCTGCTGACAAAATATCCCCGTAACTCTATGAAAACCTGCTTTGTGTGAGGACAGCAATCCAAGCACTATCCAGGCACAGACACATGCTTAGCTTCCGAGGTTTGGTGTACTTTTGTTATTTTGGTGATAGGATTTTTGCGTTGCGCCTGCCTGCAATACGTTCACGTTGCTTTTTCATTGTTTTAGACCAAAACGAGCGGCGAAACCTCAACACCAAGACGACGGCTTCTGGGACTGCAGCGTGTGCACGTACCGCAACAAGGCGGAGGCGTTCAAGTGCAGCATGTGTGACGTGCGCAAGGGGACCTCCACGCGGTAAGGGTTAACTCACGCCCATCCAGGGCTTAATCTTTTTCTCTCTGAATATTTTCCGGGTCAAAGGTAGACTAGTAGGCACGTGACCAGTAGCTAAAGCTATAACGAGATGTATATTCGATGTGGTGTACCGGGTGACTGAAATTTTCTGGGTTGCGAACGTGGATACACCTGGCTGAAATTAAGCCCTGCTGCCACATACCTCTCCACTCTCATCCCGCTCTATTCCCCACAGTGTCTCATTCAGTTTTTGCTTGATAGGAGTGCCGCTCTTTCTTGGATGCTGCCACTATAGTCTGGAACTCCTTTCCATATGTCATCTGTGCTGCCGACTCCTCGTCCCTGTTAAGCTCCAGGTCTCAAGATCGTACTCTTGTTCTATTTTAACTGATTGTTGCTTCACCTTAGAGTATCTTTAGCTACACCTTACTGTAAACATATATTGCCTATCCCTCCTTTTTTAGTTCTCTGTAAAGCACTTATCTGTTTTGTACAGTGCCTTGAGTAGTAATTGCATTTGGACGCTGTATACATTCAAATTACAACTTAGTCAGCCAACACTCTCGGCCCACCTCCACTCATCGGGAAGTCACTCATTCTTTATTACTGCTTTCATTATCTGAATTATCTCCCTCTGGCTGTTCACCCTGCTAAGACCTTTCCCTTGTTCAGGTTTAAGGCTTCGTGATTCTATGCCTATAATTATTGACACTGTTGTTCTGTTTTGTTTCCACCATCACAGTACTGTAATATTCAGTCCATATCCTAACATTTCTTCACCCTCTCCTTCACACCCAAAAAACCCCTACACTTTCCCTGAACCCCATGGAGTGCGCGCCCTCCATCTTGTACAGTGGGGTTGTTCAACTGGCGGCTCGCGGCCTGAAAAGGCATTTGCCGTCTCGTCGAGCAATCACGAGATACAGATTTGTGAGATGAGAGAGATATACAAGAGCTATAAATGAGAGAGCTGAAACATGCGATGAATATTGGTGAGCTGAGGGATAAACAATAGCGATGTATGAGAGCTGTAGACAAGGGATGCAGGTTAGTGAGCTGAACGTGAGATAAACTAGAGAGAGATGAGAGACCTGGAGATGAGGTATCGGTTAGTGGTTACACATGGCATATAATGTCACATGGCCTACATGCGTATGCTAATATTATAATGTGGCCTGCCTGAGACTAGTTGGGAAACCCTGGTGTACAATAACTTGAGTCGCTCATGTTTAGATGCTTGATAAATCAGATTTGTGCTGTCGTTAGTATCTAGCACAACAGATGTACAAACTGAAGGACATGACTTTTACACCTACGGTAGATCACCATCCATACATAGGCTGCCAAATGTAGGTGCTCATTTGTTAAGTGACTTGATCAGTCTCTCTTTTATGGCACTGAATACCAACTGGCAAATAATACATTCCAATTGTTTGTTTAGTGTGGCAATCTATTCGATGGCACCAGGAGTTTTTGAATGCATAGCGCTCGCACGTCCTGTATAAGAGTATAATGAACAGTGGTCAGGTATGTGAAGAACAGATTTCACTTCACTACATTCACAATAGGGTGACTCATTTTCCATTATTGAAGAAGATAGCCGCACCTGCCATGTGTTGTTCAAACACGATCAGGGGCAGTCCACAACACCAGATAACTTGTTCCGTTATCTGCCGTCGCGTGCGGCAGTGGTGGTAAAAGTCGCCAGGTGTTGTATCACCGGTCACCGTCCGTCATCGTCATCATTGTTTCCTGGTTATATGGCTCCTGGCACTGACCTGGCTATGCGTGGGTGGACAGTTTGGCACTGAGCTCTGTGTCAATTCACTGGAGCAAGGAAACATCTGAATGCTCCCCCTCCTGTGAGGTGTTTAAACATAACACAAAACCACGTGGATATGGTTGGTAATGGCAAACATCCAGAGGCATTTTGTGTACCGAACATATCATGAATGTTGTTGTGGAGGTTAATAGGTATGTGGTTGTGTTGTTTAGAGCTTCTGACGTGGCTCTCAATCCAATGAGTTTGTGTCTCTGTCATTGGCCGACATGGCCTTTTAAACCCTCCGTGGTTGATAAAGTGGAGTACCACTTTGTGAGAGGTTAACAGTGGTAGTCAATGGATTAGCTTACCCCTACATAGGAATGCTACATTTCAACGAATGGTTAAGGTCTGTAAACAAGCGACGAGCACTACCCCAACCTCAATTGAGCAGGAAGTCGCTGACTTGTGTGACCATAATGTTGTCATATTCATTTTGTTGTTTATTTTTTCACGCAAGATTAAAGCGGCATATCACAAGCTGACAGTGCATTCAGTAAGCCAAAGCAAACCATTCTTTGTGGCACTGAGTGAAAATGAGCCACTTCTAGTTGCACGTGCCATGGGGATGAAACGTTTGGAGTGAGTGTCTGAAAAAAATTGACATTAATAATTCACGGTGGTAAATTCATCACAGGGGGAAAGCGTGTTTAGACACTGCTCCAGATGGCCCCGACTGGTTCTCCCCTCCATCCTTTTCTGAATCAAAAGGGCCGCCGTGGTATTGTTGGCAGTGACAACAGGCTGTGAGGCACGATTATCCGTGCCTGTCCACCGCTATATAATCGCAGCCTGAGCAGCGGCGATGAGGTTTGCACCGATAAGTCTATTAGCGGTAAGCTTCGAGCAACAAGGCATCGCCGGCATCGAGTGAAAAGACTCTGGCTGCCTTGGAGAAAAGCGAGGGGAGGTTTGCTCGTGTTTAATTTAACGTGGCACGTTAAGGCCCTCCAGAGGCTCGTGGCTAAGATAAATAAATACAAGCCCTGGGTTGTCGGGGTTGGCTGTAAATTTCGGCTGGTGCATTGGGGGTAGGGTGAGAACGGGAGGAAAGGGCTTTGCCAGACACATGTCTGCATGCCACACTGTTATAAAAAGGACCGTGCATGTCTGGTTTGTGTGGGTGGGTGCACTGGGGCAGGGTTTGTGCAACTAGAAAGCACTGTTACGTTGTTTTTGCCTGGTGGTCTTTGGCCTTGGTCCATACAAAGGAAAGTTGCCGCCAGAAGAAAACGTGCGCTGCATTAAGTTTTTTCTGGTCATGCTCCATGCATTTAGTTGTGTTTTTAAACGTCGACTGTTGGGTGCAGTACACTCGAACGCACAGTAACAGTTGAAGGTCCATTTCATTGGAGCTGGCCAATAATGCACGTGTCATGACCGTTGTCAAATGAGCATTGTTTACCGAGCGGTTAGGGCTGTCATGTAAAGCACACCAGAGTTGTCATTGTAAAAGCCGCTTTGTTACATTATAATTTAATCATCACTTTCATTTTCAGCCATTTTGTCAATTCAATGCTGGATGAAGGCTTCCCCCATGGGTGTTGTTTGACCATACTTCACCACAGTTGTCATTGTAGGCTGGTAAAGAGGGTTTCCCAAGACCGGTTTAATATTTCACTTGCCACTGATATTAACGGTGCGCAGCAATCGAGCTCAGTTCATCGAGTTCATAGCGTAGTGCCTGAACCGCTGCTCCACTTGCGTTTTAATACGCCTGGCCAAATGCATCCACAGGGCGATGCAGACAACAGATTAATTCATGCAAGATCAAGCTGTGGTAATGGTACTTGCTAGCCCGGTGGTTAACCATGAGGCGACTATTTATGGAACGTAGCGTGCTTGTGGTCTGGCATTTGTGGCCACGCATCGCTTTCACCCCCCTCCCCCCCCCCCCCCCCCCCCCCCCGTGAATTGCCTGTGCGCTTTGCAAGTGGAATTTAATGATGGAAAGCTTGCACGTGGAAGGAACAATTTACACCGACATAGAAATGCAAGTCTTTTTTTTGGTGGGGGGTGGGGGGGGTGGTGTAAGTCTATCCGATGAGCATCTGCCAAAGGATGCAGGCTGGTGAGCATCTGTTCAGCATGCTTAACCAGCTCAGGTAAAAGTGTGCCAAAAGTGTGCCAAAAGTGTGCCAAGGAGATGAGATCTGCGTTGTGCCAATTATAATGTGCCCAGCTAGGAGCTCATGCTGCCCCTGTGCCAGCAGGTGAAGCAGTCTCCTGACTCCTAGGCACAGGGTGTCCTTCCATTAAATTATCATTTCCAAACACCATTTTATAAATAGACCGTGGAATTATATGGGTAGCGGGAGGCCGGCCAGAACATGCAGTACTCTGCCACATCACAATGTTTTGTTAAGTTGACCTGTTTTATTACAAAATAGTCATAGTCTGCAATCTGTCTCATTCTGCACATGAAAACTCAATTCTCTGTCCAAGTCTGGATGAATGCCTCACCATGCTGTCACTGCCGATCACGGTTCTGTGATGCCGCAATCGGTTTTATCCTGCACATGAAGCGATCTCATCGCTCCATAGCACATAGAGTATATACATGTAAATGCACACTTGTAATCATCAATATCACCAGCCGTGGTTTATCCACTGCAGGTTGAAGGACCTCCCCATCTGAATGCCACTCATCACAATCATCCCATGCCACAATCCATCTCACATGAACTAGTCGTGTCGCTTCATCTGCTGAAGGTCGTTGTATTGGGCGTGTTCCTCCTTTGGCTGTCTTTCCATCACCTGTCTCATCCACTGGCTATCATCCTTTCTAGCAATGTGTCCTGCCCAAGCCAACACAACAATGTTATGTTTCGGTCCCCTCAGATTCACTTTTGTTCCCTAATCCGTGTGCTCCTGTGCATTCCACAGAGAGAGAGGAAGAGGTTTATTGTAGCACAGTGTGCAAAAATGCATCAATATTTTCGACGTTTCTTCTTGGAAGCCACAAAGTGCCATAATTGAATGGCTTTGGCTGCTTGGATTTTTTTGTCCGTGCGCTTTTATTCTGTGCCTCGTCTCGAGTCACATCCACCGTCCTCGTATCTCATTAAATCGCATCCTCCTATCTCTTCATCCGTCTCCCCTACTCCTTCTGCCCTTCACCAGTGACTTCTCCATCGTCTTTATCATTGCATTTTCTTTATTTCTTCTTCAAAACAAATGTACAAACCATCTATGTCTTGCTTCCCTGACCTGGAAATTATGATTAACTTATGTTAAGGTTCTAACTTCTGAACTCTGCCTCCTGTCCATCAGAGATATTCCCAACAATCCATCTTGGGTTTAGTAAGACACGGATTTAAAAAAACGTTAAAGTGATGTTTCTAAAAGCAGAAAAAAACTGATCTTTTTCTGCACGCTGAACCCTCCCCATCACCCCCACTGTCCCCCACCTCCGATCTGTCGCTGACCAGCAAGCCGCGTTACTCGCAGCTGGTGGCACAGCAGGTGGTGCAGCAGTACTCGCCGGTGCAGCCGCCCCCCAAGAAGGAGAAGAAGGATCGGGCTGGCAGCGAGCGCGACAAGACCGACAAGGAGAAGGACTCGCTCTCTTCCGTGCCAGGAAAGAAGAGCAGCGGCCGCAAGGCTCGGTAAGTGAGACAGGGCCATAGCGGTGGGGGGAGGTGGAGAAGGTCGCTTTCCCTGAACTTAGATCCAAATAGGCGTTAGAAAGGGCCAAGGGGGCCTCAGATTGGGACTCATCTGACAATTTTTCCTGGGGCTCCAAAATCATTTCAGTGGCCCTGATGCAAGGATGGCAGGGATGTGAATATGATGTGGGATGAAAAAATAATAGATCGCAACACAAGCGACCGTCATCAGGTGAGACAATCACAGCAGGGAAACTGCTGAAACAGCTGAAACAGACTTTACCAGTCACGAAAGCTTCAAATCCAGAATGATGTGGGATCACAGTTTGTCGTCGTTTTATTTTAGTGAAACTTGTTAAGGTGCACACTATCGTCCGGTGGGATATTGTTCAACACCGTTGTTGTTTTATCACGAGTCCGCAAAACCGTACACTCATTGGCACAACTGTCGAATGTGGAGGTGGTACAACCAAAGCAGGGCCCACGAGCCGGAGAGGCACAGGCAGAAGAGGGGAGGAAATTGGACGGGGGGGGGGGTCCCATGTGATTCCTTGTGTCAAGACCCATGCTGACCACGCTACACCCCTGCGTACACTATTCGATGACGATGGGCATGGTGCTGCTTTCCTGTAGCCTGGCACTTTGGATGCAAGGATCGGTAGATAAACCCGCTGGTTGAAAGTACAGAAAACGTGTGGACATTTGAGTGCTATTCCCTTGTGTGAGTTGTGGGTTTTCTTGAATTGGCCAAACATCTCAATGCAGAAAGTAATCTTTTAGACTGTCAAACATTAATAGATAAATAGGTTAACATTTTTTTTTAATGTACGATTTTCAAAATCAAATTAATGCTGACACAGAGCTTTATTCTTTATCTGGGCATCGACAATTTCATGCATGTATGCTAATGAAGATCGATATTAATGTAAAAAAGTCCCCTTGGTACACCTTTTGAAAATGTTGATGTTGAACAATCTCACAAGTAAAATACTCCCTGAGGAATTGACTTGGATGCTTCTATGCCAGGATACTGTAACCATTACTGATGTGTCCTGGCAGGGCTTTCAAAATCTTGCGACATAATTTGGACAACTAATTAAATGGCGACACAGCAAATTGCTCTCTTACCAATTTAAATTCCGGACTTCAGAACGGAGTGTTCTTGTAAACGAGTTTTTTTACAACTTAGTCGTGCTGCACCATTCAGAAATAATTATCAAATTTTAAACTGAGAATTCCAAAGAATGTTTTTGCATTGAGCTGCAGCATTATCCCAAAATGAAAATCTTTGCTATAATGAGTGATCAATGTTTACATGTAATCCACCTGTGCGGGTATTTGAACGTGCTTCAATCATATCACCAAATTGTTTATCTACAACTATATAACGGTCATCAAACAGAAATATGGCCAGCAATTGTAGGAAGTAACAATTTAACACCCTCCAACAATTAGTTCAATTAATTGTCAAGATTGTGGAATCTAGTTGTATGCATCAAAATAATAGTTCGTGGTGAATTAAATAAACATCACCATCAGCCATGATCAATTGACCACGAGATTAAGGCCTCCCAAAGTCATCACCATCTTTCACGTCCTGTGATCTAATAACAGTCCAGCTAGCACCTATATGAATATATGAATCTAATTGATTCTCACACGCACATATGAATACATATATAGCGAGTATAATTATCCATTTTTATCGGTTATCATAACTTTCGTTTACAGCTGGCTCCATTGGCTGCCAGTAATTTCTGGAAAAGTACAAACAGGGACCATTTCATCACAGCTGTTTGCACCAAAACAGTCACAAAGTCGCAAACCTAACCGTGTGGTGGCTTGCCCTGCACTTGCTCCTGGCAGGCCGCGGCTGAAGAACGTGGACCGCAAGAGCGCCCAGCATCTCGCCGTCACTGTGGGCAACCTCACCGTCATCATCACCGACTTCAAAGAGAAGCCGCGGTCCGTCTCCACCTCATCGTCATCATCACCGCCAGCATCGGCCATGTCCGTGTCATCGTCTTCCTCATCTTCATCCTCGTCTTCTTCCTCCTCCTCAACAACATCCTCGGCAGCGGCAAACCCGCCGGCACCACCAGGGGGCGGCTGCGTGGATGATTCGACGATGTCGACAGTGGCAGCACATGCAGGCTCGGGCTCAGAAGCGCCAGGAGAGAAAGGGCAGTCATCGCGAGCATCATCCCCCAAAGGTGACTCTGTGTCACTTAACAGCGAGACGGAGTGACCGTGGAGGGGTGAGCGAGGCTGTCTGTCTCGGTGGGAAGGGTGAAAGGTGCAGGGGAATTTTAAGGGATGAGCAGGCAAGGCAAGTCGGTCATCGTGTACATTGTGTAATAATTTTAGTTGAAGTGTTTTTTATATTTTTCGCATTGCGCCATCTGCCCAGGAGAATCTGGTTTCCCCCTCCCCCCCCTCCTCTTTGCTCTCAACGCAGTATGGTGGCTCCCACGATGGCAATAAAAGCGCCTGTTGTGAAGGAGCGGTGTTGTCGCGAGTTTGAAGACAGTTGAAGCGGTTGCTGTAGGCTTACGCTTAAATTCACAACTAAAGTATTCCCCCTGCATTGCGCAGCATTAACCCACTTTCTGGACCTTTATGGAAAAAATTGTGAAACTTCAGGCAGCGTGACTATACACTCAGGTTGACATACATAAATCGTACCCCAACCGTAAAATTGCCTACAAAAGCTTATTTTTTTTACACTTCCCAAACTTGACGCAACTAACGGAAATGCCTCTTACCCTTCATCTCTTGTTTGGTGATGTTGAGAGCACGTTGGGAGTATGTTGTTCGGCAACAGTATTACAGGACGCAAGGGTACGGGAGATTCAGTTCCATCTGGCAGTACCACCGTGTGGCTTTAAAACAAACGAATGAAAACCGTTAACACTTTAAAACACATTTAATTCTAATTCACAGAATGTGAATGTCCCATGGTGGTGTACAGGTACGTAATGCTGTACTTGGATTCCCAAGGTTTGGTTGTGACGTAGGTTTGATGGGGTTTTTTTTAACGGGAAACCTCTCGACGTGACAAGGCCTTTCTGGGGCAATCCCGACTGTACAAAGCAAAACTAGGCGGTGTATTTCGCCTGCTTGAATGCCGTGATATTCCCGCAGAGAACAAGGGGATTGTGACCGGTGGGTTTCAATGTCGTTCCGTCCTCACCTCAAACCTCTTTGGTTTAGCCAACTGAAGTCTGAGGCAGGTGTACAGGCACTACGGTCACAAGTTAAAAACTAATTTTTGTGTATATTTTATATTTTAATGAGTCGCTGCAAGGAGATTTTTTTAAAAGGAGTTGTAAGGCGTGGCAGAAAATAACAAAAAAAACCTTAATTATTTGCAGCATTTCACTGAAGAGGCATGGCTGTTATTGTTGGTGTGGTGTTTGATAGTTTGAATTTAAAATGTTTCATGTTTCTTAAAACTACTCGCAACACAACTTTAATGATTGAAATATGGTATGCTGAAGCCATATTCCTGGTCAGGAAGTTTAAAAGCATTACATGTCACTTTTGGTATTTTATACATGGTTGAAGAAAAAAACCTCGTGACAAGTCAACAAGAAAAATGGGTGCACTCTACAGATTAAAAAAGAAAATAGTTTATGTTACAAGTATGCCTTTTTAATAGTAGAGTTGTGGCAACATTCTGTAAAACCATTGTAAAGATTGTATGTCATCATATAAGTGGTGCTTTGGCTCGCGGAAAATGCAGAGGTATACGTTGACGTAGTTGTCTGTTGATGCATTAATACTGTAGTTTAATGTTTGTGGGCCAATGTAAGCCGACCAAAATGTTATAATTTAGTGTAAAAGGCTGCATTTAGTGGTTTTGAAAGTGAAAATGTATACTAATTGAATCGGATAGGTTTGTGTAGCATTAAGGATTTGTTCCAACTCTCAAACTCTGTGCTGCTCTTAAGTTAATGTACTACATATGCCCACACACCAAAAAAGAATAAACCTGTACATTTTGTACAACTGCATGTGTGGTCAGTGCTGCGGGTTTGCCCCGAGTGGTTAAGTGTTGGATGTACATTATTTGCCACAAAACAAGTTTGGAAAGTACAAAAATGGGGTCTCGTTTCAAAGTGTGGAAGTAAAAATGTGAGTTTTTTGCACTTAAGGTACATACATTGAATTATGCTTGTCATTTGAATTTCTGAAGCAAAAATGTTGAGCTAATTTTCATAATCAGACCAAACATACGAGATGGCATAAACAAAACCGAGTCGACTCAATTGAACAAGACAAATAGTCGAATCAGGAATCGGATTATGACCCTAAATCTAGTTAATTCAATTGTTGGGTTATAGAAGTGAATGGTTACAGGCCGACTTGGTAAGCAATGGTACAATGGTCCCAAATGGGTATGAACGAGTTTATCCACCTCAAGAAGGCTGGGAGATAGAAATGTTTTTTTTACAACCGAAATCAATGGCCATTGTATCATGCTTATATTACTAAATTAACAAATTGGTCCCTTGTGAAAGCATGCTGTCCTAGTCACCAGTGTTCACCTGTGGACAACCCCCATGGGCTCAATTGCCACTTTACTTACAGCCCTTTTGTCATTCCATTACTGAAGGTCTGCCCAAAACATGTCTGCCATGGGGGTTCAGACATTACTTGTGGCTAGGAATTGAACTTGAGTGGCAGATTCAGTGCAATGAGCTAACCACTGCACCACATCATGATGCCATTGAAGGGGAAATTAATCAGTGTGGTCGGCAGGTTCATACAGCCGAAGGCACCAGCTTTCAGCTGGGATGTTCAGTTACGTAATCGATAAAAAAATTGCAACACTACTAATTTTCAGGTTTATTACTCGGGGGGGCCCCTTTTCAAATGGCAGGAACCTCCACATCCACCCTCTCTAAGCCAGCCACCCCTTAGAAGCTGCACCTCGTGATGCGGCTGATGCCAATGTTGCCTGTCCAGCGGCATGCGTTGGAATATGCATGCTGCTTCAACGTGGCACTCTCCACAGAGCAAATTCACAACCTCTTTGCTACACCAAGGACCAGGACCGTCACTGTCAGGTGTCGTTTCTCTGTGGCAGCCCCTGCCATCTGGGAAGCCATCCCACTGCACATTCGCAGTGGCGTTCAATCTCCACCGACTTTTAAGAGACACTTCAAGGCCCCATCACTTTTGCCTGGACTTTGATCAACACTGAAAAACAGGTCTCACACCTCCGTCATAATGTATGTCTGAAATATTGTACGTGTTAAAAATAGCATTATTAATGGTAGAGAAACTGCCTTAGATAATCAGTTACATAATAGAACAGATAATCAAGGGAGTAATCAATTACTCAATCGGCTTTCCCAGCTCGACACTTGGGTGGACACTGGTAAGTCCAGCTCCACAGCTAAAACCACCAATGGCTGCCTGGGTTCAATTGCGTGGACACGAAATGTTGCGCCGCACAGCAAGGAAGGGATTACGTTGCTTCCAGTTTACAGTGGGCCATGGTGAGAACATTCACAGGCAAGGCAATTATAGTCCTTCAAATACAAAAATGCGACAATGGCTGATTTATCAGCACCTCCAGCTGCGTATACTGCATTACTCGAGGAAATTCACAAATCAAGTCAGCGCAGTGTAAAGAAAAATATGGGGGGCAGGGTTATCGTCAAGGACTGCAGCACGCAGAGCTTGGAAAAAAACAAAGGTGACAAGTTAAGAGTAACGCTTGCATGAAGCACTCTTTATTTCAGGGGGCTCAATTAGGAGAGCGCTGCTCTAAAGAAGTTAGCGGTCAACCTGTTTCGTAAGGAAAAAAGTCCACAAAAATATCATTACAGCAAGTCGGACGGGTTCGCTTGCTTGAAAAGCTATAAGACAAGTAAGAAATACTGTACTGTATATAATGAGACTGATTGGCAAAGTACCTTAAGCATACATTTTTATTTAGAAATGAAAAAAAGTCTCCAAGTCGGTCTGTAAAGTATATACAAAAACCATTTCACAAGCATCAGTGAGTAGCGGCACGCACGCTCGGCTTTTTCATAGTCCATTCCTTCACTCTTCGTCCAGAAAATACGAAGGATTCGTGTCTTTCTGCTCAACGGGATGAAACCCTGGGGCCGATCCTGCTGACATTTCCTGATCTGGGCTCATCAAGGCCGAAGGGGATATTCCCAATCTGGAGGATCGGCGTCGTGAATAAGATGCCCTCTTTCGGCGCACCTTACATCGTCTCCACCATCATTCCTCCACCTACAAAAGAAAAGAGAAAATCAAATCGCCGCTATACAACACCACGTATTATTTTTTTTATTTGAGGAAGCAGTGTACTTACTAAATGGGTTATTGTTAGCAGGCTAAAATAGAAACAGCATAAATATTCGTGGTTGCGCTCTGTATCTCTCCAATGTGTGTTTGGGTTGCACCGCGTGTTACGTGTCCACCACAAACCTAAAAATAAAAACTGGTGTTAAAGGTGACAGGTTGGGGTTGATAGATCAGATTTTATCCAACTAGTGTAGGGTTTTTCAAACTCCAGTCCCTGTAACCCACCATGGTCCACTTGTCTGTTTACAAATCTCAGTTCTTATACAAATGAAGCTATTACATGCCGCACGCGCCTGCCAATTGGCAAAGTGACGTGAACAAAGTGATCTTGCGCGTGTATTTTTTTGTAACAACTTAACCCTTTCCCATTCCGACGACGTACGTGTACGTCATCCGTTTTTATTGTAGAAAAAATAAAACAACATCAGTACCAAGGCTCCCAGTGTGGCACAGTTTGGTTTCAGCAATCAGTGCGGTCGTGTTGCTACAGTTCTTTGCAAGTGAGTACAATGTCCTTAAAAACAGCGGTGCTATGCCTCGCGAAATAAAATTAATGCTATCCGCTTGCGCGTTCCGAGATTCAGCGGTGAACGAGACCCACCCTGCAACAGACGTCTCGGAACGGGAAAGGGTTCATTGGTATTTCAACAAATAAGATTGGTTACTGTGGAAAAGCAGGCTTAGGCGACACGGACTTCTACTCCGCTCCTCCCCCATGTGTGCGTGCGCGCGTTAGCGGAGCGTACCGCCGGCAGACTCAAGCTTGTCCATAAGGTCCCTGCCCTTACTGCTGCCATCCAGGCCACGGCCCTTGTCCCCCTTGGGTCCCTTGGGTTTTCCCGGTGTCGGGTCCTTGGTCTTCATCCCCTTGGGTCGCCCCGCCGGCTTCTTCTTGCTCTTCCCATCACCTTTGACGCACAACAGCGGGTGCAGCTCTGGGCAGGGGGAGCAGGGGAAGGTGAGAGGGCACAGCTGCTATTGTATTTGGTCTGAAATCACTTCTTTACAGCCATTCTCAAGTTACTATCCTAAATGCACCTATATTCTGGCACTTCCGGATGTACTGCATGGGAGTTGCAGTGTTAACAATTAATTATGATGGTGGTCACTCATTCTCCACTGCTGCCCCCCCCCCCCCCCCAACGATGGTCTGAAATGTCCCTCGCCCCAGCTCTCCGTGCTGTCGATGGTCAATACCATTTTACCTTTCCCACCTTTACCTAAAATATATAATAGCTGACGTTAAACCAGAATTGGGATTTGCTCATCCAAAACGATAAACCTGAGCAATTGCTAGAAGATAAACATTATGGTGGGAGTAAGTAAACCGCTGTTAACTTCCTACAAAACGGTACTCACTTTATTGACTGTAGGGGATAAAAGGCGACCCCTGGCCAGGATTTTAATTTACAAGCGTCTAATTGAAAGTTGTGCATTCTAACTACTGCCAACCTGGGCAGATGGGACAGCAAGAAGTGAATTAATGTCAGCGGTGACCATCAAAACAGGCAAATGAGTGAACATGCGAGCGAGGAGCGTAGCAACACCTGAGCGAGCGAGCATGTAAGTGAGCGAGCGAGTGAGCGATCATGCAAGTGAGTGATATTGCACGCGAGTGAGTGATATTGCACGCGAGTGAGTGATCATGCACGCGAGTGAGTGAGCAATTGACCGCGCAAGTGCGTGATCGTGTGAGTGAGCATGCGAGTGACGGAGTGAGCACGCGAGTGACGGAGTGAGTGAGCACGCGAGTGACGGAGTGAGTGAGCACGCGAGTGACGGAGTGAGTGAGCACGCACCTTCAGGCGCAACCCCCTGCAGCTCCACGTTGGTTGTTTTCGTTTTTTTCTTCTTGGGCGAGAGCGGCCCCTCCGACGACGCCGGCCGCTTCTTGTCCTGGCTGCTTGGCTCGTCCGCCCCAGGTGTCTGCTCATTCACACGGGCAAAGAGATGGAGGTCCCCGTACAGCCATCAACAGACCGATGAGCAATTTCTGCTATCGTTCTCGCACGCCCACAGACCACCGAACCGCTCGCTTGTTTTGCTGCCGGTAGTGGCTTTCCGATGTGCATTGCTCTGATCAATTGGGCTTTTGAATTGCGCTGGCGCTTAGGAATCTGTTTTATACTTGTGTGAGGTGCGATGTCAAGGAATACGTGAGGATGATGACACACGGTAGGGAGAATAAAGAGAAAGGAGGGTAAAGCTGCCCGCAAGGGTTGGTCAGTTGGGAGCGACACTGACCGACAGGGCGTCTGGAGGAGGTCCGTACGGGTTCTCCTCGGGCTCCTCCACCTCAGGCGAGATGGGCAGGTAGAGCAGAGCGTGCGAGTCCTCCGTCTCCTCGTCGCTGTGCGACGACGGCATCAATGAGGACGGCGTCAGAAACTCGGAGGTCATGTGACCGACTAGGCTACGAACAACTCGGCAAGGCAAGGTGCTATTGTGTTATGGACAATGAAGAAGAGAGCCAAAACATATCACGTACATTATATACCTATCCTATGTGTCCCACGCCGTTTAATAAGAGTTTGAAGATTTGTTCACGAAATAAAAAGAAGCAAAACTGAATTTCAGAAGCTTGCCATAGCAAGATCTACAAACATTACTGTATTGATTTGAAGCTTTCATGACTGCAGGAATTACTCTTTGGTTCTTTCGGTAAAGTCACATAGAAA